AAAAGAATTAGTGGTGAGCGGTTGTTGGGTTTCGTGGTACAGGAGGCATAACGGGAATCCTTACCTGGCCGAAAGCGGCAAGATTCTTGCGTGTCAGCTCCAAAGACAAGAAAATCCACCCCCCAAAGCACGCATTGGTCATTATGACGAGCGCTTCCCAGACAGCAGGAGGCCGCACATCACCGTCCGATTGATTGGCAAGATGGCTCACTTCCAATGCTCCAACAGCGATAAAGTAACACACGCCAAGTCCAGAAACCACGAACACCTCTGGCCATGAGATCTGCATTCGGACAATCCCATAGCCCAAACTGACTAGAGTGGTTGCAATACGCGCCACCATCCCGGCCAGAACCTTCACGAACGTAGAAAACAGCACGGAGTCTGGGTACGGACAGCAAACAGGCACACCGATCATTCAGCGTTTATAGTCACAAACCACGCCAAGATTCACCTAAAAACAGAACAAAATAGCAGCGTTTCAAAATATTTATTTCCCCCCCCTCTCCCGAGAGAGAAACCATAAACCCTTTTCAGTTTTTCTTAACATTGGCCAACCAAAAATATGTTCCCAGCCAGCAATACGCAAAGCAGGAAATAGTGCGCTCCAACAACGCTCTGGCGGTGGCGGTAGATCAGCACCAAAAAGTATACATCCAGTGCACCATACATCAAAGATAAAACTCCGCTGCAGTGCAACACGTAGCACCAATAGATTAGCAAGTAGCTTGCACGTTCAGCCCCATCATTTCATAGGCACTCACTTGAATGGGAGCAACCCGTACAGCAATCCCGGCAGAAACCCGTACGGATTTCGGAAAGCAAACTCCGCGTCCATATGCAGCAGCGGATCAACCATCGGATACGCCACGAACTCGTCTGCACTCACAGGATATCCGAACGCTGCGCTCTTCTGCTTCCAACAGGGCACCAGCAACGCCGTTTGTAGTCCCCCTTCCTTTGGGTAGAACATCATATTCACCTGTAGCGTCTGATCTCTCTCCATCAAGTAAAATTCTCCCTGAAGTTCGCCGTCCACATTGCTGGAGTTGGAGAAATTCCAGCTGCAGGCTGTGTGATCGTCAAAGCCCACTGCAATTGCTGCGTCCGGTGAATAGGCGGCCAACACGACGCCAAAGTCGAAATAGTCGCTGAGTCTCCGCACTGTGATAGCATTTTTCACCTCGTGGTCCGCCAGTGGACGTAATGTCGCATCCACGTGAACAGTTGAGTGTTCAGCGATTCCCCAGGGGCCGTGGCCATCTGCAAACATTCTCTCCGTGATCTTGCAGCCGGTGACCTTTTCGTGCACCTCGTGAATCGAGCAAGAGACCAGCAGATCTGTACGACACAGCATCAGAACCGCAATAAGCAGCACCGTGTAGTGATGTCGACTGTATGGCGTGAATTGCCCGCTAGATCGCGGCAGAAACGCGGCAAGCAGCCCCATCGTGGTCGTGAGCGAGTGCGGGATTTGGAGGAATTTTCATCAACTAACTGTCACATCGTCTTCAAATATTGCTTTTGACCAATCAACACATCGAAAACATAATCAGGCGCTCCGTCTATCAGTCGACATCTCGCTCAAAACCGGAGAAATAGATGCCGTCGCTCGTGTCGTCGCTGCTAGTGCTGTGGGGCGTCTGGCTGCATGCCGTGACCGCATCCATCTACCCCGTTACAAGCAGCTACTGGGTACCTCCGTTTCAGCGCGCTGAGAAGCTCTTCGCCACAGATCAGGGCCCGATCCTCGCTCGCACTGGCAACTCGTCGGTCACGGTACGGCAGAGTACGCTACTACTTGGAAGATCATCTAATTAGCGGAATGCGTTGCTTGTAGATCGATATCAGCGGCGTGAATGTGACGCAAGACATGGCCGGCTGGAGTCTTGTGGTCTTCTTCTACCACGTAGACAACTACGAGGACTTTGAGGCTGTGGCCGGCAAGATTGAGCTGCTAGCCTGCTCGGACGTTGAAGGTATGAAGTTCGATGGTATGTCAGACGTTCAACGCTTCGTATTCACGGTAGCGAATAAGTCCACGCCCACCTTAAGCGCCAATGTGTCGCACCTCGTGAACTCGAGCGGCTGGACGGACACACAAATCTTCGTATGTGCTGAGGACGAGGGCGCAGCCACCGAGACGCTGACGTTTTCAGGGTCCATGGAGGTTCGTAACCCGTATGGCCTGCTGCCTGCAGTACTGTACGGTATGCTTCCGTTCAGCGGCTTCTTGACCGTTGGATACCTGGTGCTGGATGTGTTTTTCGTGTTCCTGCTGATCCGTCACCGTCGCCAACTGCTCTCGCTACACTGGGGTATCCTTCTCATTTTAGTGATGGGAACTGCGGCGTCGGCTGTTTGGCTCTACGCCTTCTACCGGATGAACAAGACCGGAGAACCTGTGTGCTGCCCCTACCCGACGACGTTCCTGATTGCCGTGATTCTGGACGTGAGTTTGACAGTTGTGACTGTGTGAAGATATTGCTTGTGCGATGGACTAATTATCGTGTATTGCTGTGCACTGGCAGACATTCGTGCGCACGCTGGCGCGTGTTATCTTGCTGATTGTATGCCTTGGCTACGGTATCGTTCGAAGCCACTTGAGCCGCGTCGAAGCCAGCGTGATTGCCTTCCTATCACTGGCGTACTTCGTCTCGGGTATCGCTGACGAGGTTACGCGCGGAACGTCGAGTGGCGCTGACTTCCGTGAGAAGCCGACGGCCTGGTCGTTCATTCAGCTGCTGTGCAACCTCGCGTTTATCATGTGGATTCAGTACTCCATGGAGCGCATTCTCCGCGACCTGCGAGACCAGAAGCAGTTTGCTAAGCTCAGCATGTATCGCTGGCTGGCCTGGTCGCTCGCCGCCTTTATCGTGTTTTTCACGATTCTTACAATCGTTGCCGTCTGTAGTCGACTTGGTGTGTTCGAGTGGGACGTCGAGTGGGAGTGGATGCAACTCGTGGCTTGGCCTGTGCTGAACTTTACAGTTTCAGCTGCGATGACTTTGATCTGGCGGCCAACCCAGAACAGCTCGCAGTTCGCGTACTCCATGCAGGTATGTTGGAAGGTCAAAGCAGTGATTAGTGAGGTGTCCTCCAGGCACTAACGTTTCCGTTTTGGGTGAACAGCTGCCGATGATTGAGAGCCCGGGGATCGAGATGACCCGTAACACGCACGGCTCATCGTCTGACGAGGACATCAACCCCGAGATTGAGTCGGATTCTGATGAAGAGAAGCCCAGTCACCACGAGAAGAAACAAAAGAGCTACAGCAAGGATAGTGACGATATGGAAGGAGTCTAGCTGGCTGTGGGCGACTCGATTTTGTTTTGTGCAGCTGACGTATAGATTTGGGTGAAGGAAGACACAGCAAAGAGTCAAAAATGGAAAAGCGCACTTGTACGAAGCTGTGGAGGCGGTCAGTCCCAGAAACTCGAGAGCTGGGACGATGTTTACATGTGTTTACTGTCTCCTAACTTTCACGCGTCCTTCTTGTGGTCGCGTGTTAATCTCAGAGCAATGGCAACAAGTGCCACGAAGCATACCCCGGGTATAACAACTGCAGTCATAGTGGCACTCGATGTTTCCTCGTCGTCAGCCTGCTTGCCTCCGATGACTTTTGCCTCAAACTCGGTGACCGTTTTGGCCTCCGGTTCAGTTGGAAGCGGCTTACCAATGCCTGGGGGGTCATCGTACTGGTTGCCAGTGGTATCAGTGTCTTTTTTCTTAGGAGCACACGGCTTGACCACCACCTCTTCCGCTGGGGCCTTGGTTTCCGCTTCATCCCGAAGACGTTTCGGTTGACATGGTGCCGGCCACAACTGCGGATGAATAAAAAGACTGCAGTGAGGTTCAAGTGCAACATGCCAGATACAGTGAACAGAACGTACATCCTTTGGTCCAGAGTAGGCTTTACACACGGCATCCATGAGCTGCTTCAAGCCAATACCATGGCTCGCGTCGCCTAGTGGCGTGCCGTTGAGAATAACCTGCGCGTTCAAGTTAGACGGGGAAATGTAGAGCACTCGGTACGGCCAATGCAACTTACGTAGGGGACCCAAGGCACACGTAGAGCCTGTCTCTTCGCCACATTCTACACCGAGTTCGTAAGAATTGTGGTGTAAGAGTCTGATGTCAGGAAGCCTGGTAGAAATACTTTGCCAACAAACCTTTCGAAGGAGATCGTCACTCTTCGTGTCGTAACATGTTTTCATCTTCGTGAACGCTTCGCCTTCAAAGCAACGGTTGATAATGAAGCTCCATGTCATGCCCTTGTTGTCCTTGCTTTCCATGCACTACAGTCATTACACAATAGTCAGAAAACAGAGTAGATACCCCCACGGACACCAAAGATACTTACAGCGATCCGCTCTACCAAGTCTCCGATTTGGTGGAACTCCTCTACGGCGCAGCTTAGCCACTTGTGTCCCAGGCATTCGACCATTCCGGCGGTACACACGAAGTTGCCCTTTGCGTCAAAAGACGTACCAGCAGCGGGAACCGGGCGGAAATCAATGATCTCCTGAAACCTGATGAGCCAAGCGTCACAGAATGAGTTAGAACGCAAAATAATAAGCGAATCAAGGATGAATCTGCTGCCGCAACGCACTCTTTGTTTCGAATAAATGAAAGCAGAGGCTTCGTGATAAACGACATACAACCGGGG